TGTAGGTCTGCTCTGTTCTGCTGCACCTGGTGGTGTGCTCCTCAGTCGAGCCAATAGGCGTGGTGCTTTGTGGTTTCCCTCACCATGCAGCAGTGCAGGCACGCAGTCCACTGCGGACCAATTGTTTTATACACTCTTCCCATCTTTCTCGTCTCTGTTTTTACAGTGGACTTATTTTGATCCTTATATACTGCTTTGTTTTTCCTTTTTTGTTTCTGATACACCTTGTGTATCTTGTGTGCTCATCGTCAGGAAATGATTTTTTTTTTTCATTATATACAAACTGCTGCACGGACATCGGACATCAAGAATAAAGATATGGGTACGGCACGTTCAGTACACAATGGTTTTCCGTTGTTAACCTTGGAGTGGATTGGACTGTGTCCAGGCATCGCAGTCACATTAAGAAATAAATTGTTTATACATCTTCACACTATTATTGTGTCTGCCTCACGCAGTCACTCTTTTTTTCTACATTTTTATTTTGGTATAAAGATTGGTGGGTGGTAGGGGTTTAAGTGTGCCTCTCTGTTGTGTGTTCCTTTGTGTGTTCAGCTTGCTACTCACACCGCCCACGTAATGAAAACACATTTCTTTGTTCTCATCTTCTCTCTCGGTGGTGTCACTCACGGCATTGCCACGAACATATTTCTGCTCTTGTGGTGTGTGTGTTGTGTGGCTTGCTTGAGTGACTGCAGCCTGTGGGGAGATGGACTGAGACTGTTCCGCTTCGGCTTCACGTAATGGGCCTGTTTTTTTCTTTTTTTTTGGGTGTGTTGATTTGATGTGCTGGTATGGGTGGATGTTTTTCTCTGATGGGAGTGGCACCCGTGATTATTGTATTGTGAGTGCTTTGTGTGCTGTTGGTATCCTGTTGTTGTTGTTCTTTTCTTGTGTTTTTCTTTTCCTCTCTGTAGGTGTGTGGCTTAGTGTACATTTTAGTGAATGCCGCAGTGCCTCTCTGATATGAGCATGTGAGACTGTCATTGTGTGTGTGTGCACTGTGAGTGGGAAGGACACTTTGTGTTGCTGGACCACTTCACTGCGGCCTCTGTGGTGTTTGTGTGTGAGTGGCATGCTTCGCTTCGGCGGGGCTCGAGGGGCACTTTACGTCCCGAGGCGCTGAACCTTGAGGCCTGAAATATCATGCTCAGGGACTTTGAACTTGAGAGAAAAAGAAGAGTGAGGATGAGGAAAAGAAAGGATGAAACCCGGCAACCAGTCTACGTGCGCAATGCTCGAGGCTCGTTGTCGGGTTTTGCCCTTTTCTTTTTTTTTTTACCCTCACCCCAAGAAGGGAGAGGAGGAGAGAACACAACCTGCTTCTCTACGATGCGAATTTTGTCTACGCGACTTTGGCAACATTGGAGGTCTCGCCTGCCACAAAAAGTTTAAACATCCACCTGGAACTCCAATTCCGCCAGCAACCATACAAGTAACGTTTCCGCGAAATAAGAAACGCCAGCGAGATCCGTCGCCATCACCAGAGCGTGAGGACAGAGAAAAAGTCCAATGCGGAGTATGCCAGAAGTTCTACGCCCACCTAGACTCCCTCGTAATACACTGCAGAA